AAAATTATTTTATAAAATTGGACCATTCTGTATTGTATTTTCATAAGATTACCATCTTTAAGTATAATACTTAAGGAAGTCTTTTCAATCATAAAACAAGCAGACTAACTTAGTTTATATTTGATTTTTTTATGTATACAATAGTACTACAAAACACAGAGAACACAAATAAAATATTCAAAGAAAAATAAAAAAACAGTCAATCGGAAACGTTATGCAAGTTTGGAAGATTTTTAAAAAATCTATCAAATCAATGGTTTTGTAAAGAAGCACATTTCATTTCGACCATTTAAATTGAAAGTTTACATTTTCAGTACACTACGCGTGGGAATTTTTATAATCAAATATATTGCATATATTTAGGGGAGATATTACAAAAAAGGTATTTTGATTAAAAAAATTTGTACTATTGAAACTAAACATTGAAATATTCCCAAATTTGAAAAGCAATAACTCAGAAAAGTGTTAACTTGAAAAATTAATTTGGCATACCAACATTTTGTTACAATTTTTTTAGCCAAAACCACTTAAATTAGTTATCAAAAATATGCTTAGACTTTAAAGGAGAATTATTCGTAAGCCTGGGGGATAAGTAAATATTTTGTTCCAGATTAATATTTTTCTGAACCAAAACATCTTTTGTAATTCAGCGCAAATTTTTCTTGTTCTCTTGATAAACAACTTATGTAAACTGGCACTTATATACACAAATGAATCTATAGAGTGAAACTAGTATAAGTTCATTTGTTCTAACATTTCTTGGAAATGCCCAAAAATGAAAAAAATATTACAAAAAGCAACACTGATCGAAATTCAAAATTTTAATACGCTTACAGAGAAATTTCAGTTTAACCAAACAACAGAAAATTCTTTACATCAAATTGGATCTATTCTCTTTCAATGGATTGATTTTAGGACTAAGCTAATCTTTTGATACCAATCATTTTATGTTGCATACTCAAATGTTATTCTTGTTATTTTGTTTTGATTTTGAATAAAGTTTAAATTGATTTTATACCAAAAAGAATTTTTTATTTATTCAACTTCGAACAATGAAGTAGAGTTCAAATTACGTCGATTGAAAATTACAAATTTCAATTAAAATTTTACACTTGTAAGGATAATTAAAAATATAATAAATTAATTATAAGTGCAAATATTTGGGGTTCGAAGAGAAAATGAGCTTTGGTAATGGAACAAATCGGCAACTTTTATGGAGAAGGAGAGAGAAAAAGTAAGAAAAATCTATATAATTTTTAATGTGGGCTGGGTTTAGTATACTCAAACTGAGTATGTGAAAATACCCAATAAATGTATCATAAGTACATAAGATACCCTGTCTTCCATATTGTAAAACAAACGTTTACTCTGCAATGTTTTGTGTTCTATATTGTATTTCAAAAGCTTTCGACGATATAGTAAGCTGCGAATTGTTTAGAAACCGTTACAAAGAAAAAAAAGAGCCGTTTAGAGAAACCGTTTAGAAAAAAAAAGAGCTTAAAAAATTTCCCGATTCTTTGTGAAAACTTTGTTTAAACGGTGCTGCCACTGAATGTAAATTTTATTAAAATCTTTCATGCTTGTTAAATATTTAAACATTATTTTGGCTATTTTGTAAAAAAGCTTCAAAGCTCATGTTTAAAGGCGCTTTAAAAACGGCTTAAAACGGTTTTTTTTACAACCGTTGCAAGCTTTGCTTTTAACTGCGACCCTTTCTCATCTATTATTGTTGGTAATGCCGACACCGAAGCTTATAAAATTGCATTTCCTGTTTTCTCTATCGTTAATCGAGAATTTCATTAAATAGAATTAATTTTTTTTTATTACAATTAGGACTTCTTAAATTTAAAGTTCATTCCAATTTTAGCATGTTGTAAAATTGGATGTTGTCTTGCTGATAATCAAATTTCTTTTAAATAACAAAATACAAATTGAGTCAAACAGCATTTAGGATTTTTATTTTGAAATTAATTTTACTATTAACCCATATTTCTAACATGGGAGTACTCGAGAAGGTATTAAACCTTATATTAAATTCTTTAATAAAGGAAAAATTTAATAATAATTAAAAACTTTTCGTTTTTAGAAAAAAAAAAAAATATTATATACGAAATAGAAATATGGGTCGTAGACTTTAACTCACTTCTTCCGATATGACGCCTTTTTGAAGGTGATGGCAAAGCATATAGTTTTAAATTAGGGCAAATTATGTTCTTGTATAATTTCTAACGCCATCAACGCTTTTTGCTCTAATTTCATAATGTTTTCCTATCTTTATAGAACGGAAATTTTTATATTTTCACAGGTAAAAAATTTTCAAAATCTCTTTTTTCTATAGTGAATACGAAATTTTTTTTTTTGCTCCTTTCTTGGAAAAAAATAAAACGCGTCGGTAATGAAACAAAAAAAAAAATAAAATTTCCTTCCCTATGTATTTAAGCTTTTTCTTTTTTTTTAGCATCTCTTGACAAAAATGAGACTCTCTGTTTGTTTTTTTTATTTAGTTGAAATCAACATAACATGAAAGGTTGTTATTTAAAAAAAATAAAAATAAAATATTTTAAAAACTATGTTGAAATGTTAAAATAGAAAACATTTCGCTCTTAACAAAATTATAAATTGATGGTGAGAAATTCAACTGCCTAATGCATTAGTGAAAGCTATTTCTTTCATATTATTCATTTGATATTCGTATATAAGGAACATTTTGAAGCTGGGAAAACTATATAGGTGAGAAGTACATTTCATGGTTGACCCGAATGCCCTTAGGATATGTCGGAATAAAGCTGTATTTATAATTAATGTGTATGTACATATTGTGTATAGTAACATTAGATAAGTTAAAAATCTAAAAACTTTTATTTAAGTTGTAGATTTTTAAAAAAATATTTTCAATAACAGGATTTAAAATTTCATGCAAAACAATAGACTTTAATACTAAAATTGCACTTAAAAATTTGAGTATATTACTATGCAAAATAATATTATTAATGGATGCTATTGTTTACAGAAATATGAGTAAAAATGCATTCAATTTCGCTATGTTAATATTAGAAGGTATTAGGCATCACATTTCTAGGGAGTTTATTGCATTATATCTATTTAGTGCCAAATATTATTCGCGAATAAGTTCTCTAAGTATCAATAAACTTTTATAAACAAAAATTTGCAAATAGAAAAAAAAGAATTTAATTGAATTATTAAAAAAATTTTAAGGCGATATTTTACAGTTTACCTGTGACAAATAAATAAACAATTTCATTACGATCTTCCTTGACAAAGTACTCGCTGAAAAATAAAATAAAAAATACTTACAAGACTATTACACACAAGGCACATGTTTCAATATCATTTGAGGCCAGAAATAAAAAACTTTCATATTTCATATACAAGAAACACTATTGTAAACGGTGGAAAATTTCTTGATAATCTTCCAAAACAAATTCACTTTCAATTTATTTCAATGCAATAAAACTAGGAAAAATAAGAGAAAGAAACCAAAATAAAAACGAGATTTTAATTGAAAGGGATCCTTTTCTCCTTTTTCTTTTTATTTATTTGTGCTTCCTATTTTTTTCCCATTTTTCTTTCTGTTTTGTTTTTCTGCTTTTTTATTTTATTTAAATAGAAATCTTTTCATTTTACATTTATTTATTTAATAATTTTTTATAGCATTCTTAAAATGGTGTCATTATAGTGTTTTCAATTGTAAATTGGTATATACCATATGAATGTAAATATATAAATATACATATATGTGTGTAAACATGTGGATATGTGTGAGTGTGAATTTTATTTATAATATTACTTAATAGGAAAAGACCTTGATTTTAATAGAATAACATATTTAAATTTTTAATGAAAGCAAGTTTTTTTTTTTATATAAATTTGCGCTTATATAACACTTAGTTAACAGTGATAATGAAATAAAAAAAAATAAATTTAGACTAAATTTAAAATTATATAATTTTTTTTTTATTTATAACAATAATTTTATTTACATTCTTCATTTAAATTTTAAACGTAAATTTTAGGTAGGTTAAAAACTAGGTTTATTTTGTTTAAGGATACCTACATTTTGTGTTTATAAGGAGGGAAATTTTATAAGTTGCATAACGAGAATTGTATTAATCCCTAGCATTACATGTTTTTTGTAATCAAATAATTATTAATTAAGTTGGACATCCCCTGATAATATAAAAATATTTTTTAGAAAATATTCAAATATTGTAAAATGTAAGTGGTTTTAACGCGTAACTAATGTTAAGATTTCATCATTCATGCTTTTATAAGTGTTAAGTATCCAAATTGAAGACTGAATGAATTCAGTTTGTGGGATTTGAGAAAATGTAAAGAAATAAAATTACATGGCAGACGGTAATGCAAAATTCTTTTTCTTATTTAAGACAGTAACTATATCAATAAATATTTAGAGGAAAATATTGTATAGGTTAATTTTCAGGTCTTATTGTAACGCATCAAAAACAAAAAAATAGCAAAAATTTTTCGAAAAACGTCGTGTTTTTTTAAGAAAATTTCAAAAAAAAAAGCAAAAATTCTGTTTTAAAATAATCGAAAATGAAGAGCAATTACGCGCCAGTAAAAGAAAACTTCAATATTTAATCCATAAGCATTTATTTATATACAGGAAAAATCTGGTACTTTTATTTTCAACAGGCTGTACAGCTCGAAAACAGGTATATTTGCATCTCCTCCCTCATACAACTCATAGAATTTTTTGCTGGAAATTGATGAAAAAATCATTTCTGGAGTTGTTCGTTACCTTATGCGAAGCACTCTGTATATGATTTAGTAAGCTTATCTGCTGAATAGATACTATATTTTTTCGACTTTTACAAGACATTGTACCTTAAAAATCATTAAAGAACTATAAAAATACATTTATTGGTACTATTTACTTAAATAATTATTTTTTATAATGAAATTTCATAAAATTTCTTAATCTGTAATAAATTTTTATTTCATTTACTTTTTTTCAGGATGAAAAAAATCAACTTCTTATAACGAATATCTGGTTGAAATTGGTAAGTAAAACAATTGATATTCTCATTTATTCACACTTAATTAAATTTAAATTTGACGAATAATACTTGATTTTAATATTGAAATAGAAATTTTATTTAAAAATTTATTAAAATTAACAAAAATTCATATTTTTGAATATTACTTTGTTTCTCAAGAGTCACTTATCTTAATTGAGTTTTGAAACATTTTCTACAGTATTTTCTGTTTTCATGATATATCATGGGTGGTTATAGAATATTCCCTGATGCTTGGGTAACAACCAGAACTCAAATATCAAATTTCAACAAATTCCATCAATTCGTTCCGTAGATATAGTGAAAAATGTAAAACAGGCCGGCAGATCATTTTCCGAGCCATGATTTTTCCAAAAACCTTATATGTTAATTTTTTTAATACGAATAATTTAAATATTAAATTTCAAGGAAATCAGTTGATTATTTCTCTTTATATACGTAAAAATGTATATTTAGCCCGTAGTAAACGTCCAGTTGCTGATATCTGATTTCTTCTAAAAGATAGGTTTCGCGGACGGTCGAGCGAAGCTTATATATGAAGTTTTAAGTAAATCGGTTGAATGTTTTCTTCAAAATGGTCAAAAATGTAAAACAGACCCGCTAAAAGTGCAGCTTCCGAGGCCTGATATATCCCAAAAGTTGATCAATCCGTGCCATGGTTGAAATAAACTTACATATAAAATTTCGTCAAAATCGGTTCACTCGAACTTGAGATACACGCGTACACACACAGACCGACAGACCAACAGATTGCTATGAATAGTTTATTTATACTTCTCTACCATGAAGAAGTGCATCCCCACCGAAAATTCGATATGCAAAATTTGTTTCCACCACATAACCTACCTATACACAATACGGTCGGTAATTATTAAAGAAAAATTTAAATTTTAAAATATGTAATATAAATTGGCTTGTAAATCTCAGAACTTTTAACTAAAAACTAAACTAAAGTTTTAACAGATTATTGTTAACATGATAACAGTTAACATGAAATTCAAATTCAAAACACTTTCAATTATTTAATAAAATATTTTTCAATTTTATTCTTGAGAAAAATTTTATTTCTAAAGAATTTTTGTTGTGTATGAAAGCTTTTAAATATTAAACTCGAAATTTGTTGTATTGGAGAGTCCAAAAACTACAGGTAAATGTAAATTTTACATATAAAAAGAGCATAGCCCAAATTTGATTAGAATCTAAAATTTTTAATAATTCCTTCTTGTCTAGAATTACTAGAATTTTATGCATATATTTACTTAATTTAGTACCAAAATATACACAAGTAATAAAATACCAAAGTACGGTTACAAGTAATGTACGGTTACACTCCTTTCATTAAAAACCTTCCAATAATATAGAAAATCCTTAAAACAAATAATATTTTAATCATACTGAATAAAAACAATTCCAGTGTATAACTGGAAAGGGTTTATAGATGATCATCAACAAAAAAAAGAAAAAACACAAAAGAAAAATTAAAATGCAACCCTTAAGTAAAGCACGTGTAAAATTTATGACAATTTTATTGTTTTAAAATCAAAACATTCCAATTTGTAACAGAGATGAAAAAAAATAAAAAGGAAAATTGCAATTTATCACGTTTTTTATATAAAAAATAAAAATGAAATTTTAAAACATTTTAATAAAATTTTTTCACGTAATTCCTTTTTTAGTTCTGTTAATTTTAGGTTGCACCCTAAATGCAATCAACCTGATATTAGAATTTTTGTAATATTTAATTTTATTTGTAAATATTTGCTTTTTTATTTTATAATTGAAAATTGCCCATATTTAAGTAAAGGCTGCTACTCGTATTTAATGTTTAATTCTGTAATATTCTCGACGACAATTGCAAAGCTGACGAAATATGAGCCTTCGATTCACATAGGTCGTAAGCCACTCGTTAATTAAATAGATTCTAATTCAACACAAATTACAAAATGTTAAGGATACACCATAAGATCATAATCATTTTTTCAAATCCCGATCATATTAAGTTCTTAGAATATTTCAGAAATTTTAGATTTTTAATTCTTCTTCAAAATTCTATTAAAAATGGTACTTACAAAAACAGCTGCTTTCAAAATATTAAAATTCGAGAACATAGACTAATTTTGTGCTCTTCGCATTTTTCATAAACGAAATAATTGTGTAAGGATGCTAAATATCGAATTTTTTCCTCTGACTTCGTATAGTAAAAATATGTGTGATAAAATAAAATTCATACAAATATTTTAACTTGAAACGAAAGATTGATCTGCTTTGTTATAACAGCTGTGTATTTTAATGTTGCCATTATAACAAATAACTAGTATCCGGTAAAGGGAAGCTGGAATTGGCAATTAAAAGTAAAAATTATGTTGTGTATTATTAAATGTGAAAATTTTATAAATAAAATTTTATGATAAATTTTTTAGTAGTTTTAAAATTTCTTGCAGGTTTTATGTAGGTATTACTTTCAATTTTTGAAAAACATTCTAGAATTTTATAAAAACATTCCTTATAATATTAACGACACTCTGTACAATAGTCTGCAATTTTCTTTAGTTTTACTCGATTCTACAGGTGTTTGACAACATCAGCAAAAAATTTTTGTATAAAGCAATAAAAATACGAAATAAATAAAAAAAAATAACGTAACATGAAAATAAAAGAACTAGTAATCTAAAAACGATTTGACATAAAAAAAAAAAAAAAGCAGAAAAATTAATGAACAGAAAATTCAAAATAAAAAATGAAAACACAGGAAAACAGTAAAATAACTTTCATTTAATTTAATGGCGTCTCATCTTCTACTAAGGACTAATAATTTTTTATTTTGGACTTGGAAAAAGAGAAATCACGACACCATAATATATAAATAAATAAACGTATAGTTTTGAACACTGGTATTTCGCTAAGCTAAAAGTTAGAAGAAGATTTTGTGTTAAATTTTCCAGAAAACTAATTTTTTGTTTCAATAAACTTTCACTGAACACAAAATAGAAATTTAAAAAATTATTTTTTAACATTTGTAATATTTCATTTTTTTTTTCGTCATTGTTTCGTTGTTATTTCTGCCTTATTCCTTTGAGTACGAAAAAAATTTGCTTTCGTTTTCAGACTAAAGAAATTGTTAAAAATGTAAAATTTGTTTTATTAAAATAAAAGACGAATACAAAAATTTCTATAAATTTTAAATATTTTAAATCGAATTTTAAAATTATATTTTTATGAAAGAGGTGTAGAAGAAATTTGAGGGAGAAGAACATTGTAAATTTCTGAAAAGAAATTAAATGTGCGGGTAATAATTACTCCCTATTCCCACTAGTCTAGCGAGAATTCCTTCCAACAGATAAAAATATATAAACATATTTTAAATTTCCTACTTAGCGAATTTTTTGTAACTTAAATTTGTTTTACATTGTTATTACTTTTACATTAAACTCACCTAATAAATCTCTATGCCAATATTACAGTGTAAAGAAAAACCGGCACAAAAAGAGCATTTTCACTGAAAACTGACACACAAAATTTGATGTGGTCACAATTCTTTTGGTAACTGCAATTAATAAAACAGAATGTCATTTGGAAAAAGAGGTGGGGTGATCTAAGCTATGCATTATGAAATTGAACAAAGTGAGACTACTGCTTTCACAATTTAATTTTATTATTGCTTTAAATTCTAGCATTTGCTTTAATATTTTCACTTTATCGACAATTATTACTGATAATCTACTGTTGTTGTCTATAAAATGTGAAACGACACTTCCTCCCCTTATTATGTATGTAAGCATGGATTAAAGAATTACATTGTTCTCTTAAGAAAAATTTTTGAAATTTTTAATTTCATCTATTTTATGTTATTTTTGATTTATGGCGTTAATTTTTAATGTTTTAACAACTTTTATTATAGTTGGGAGTTTGAAATTCAAAATTAATAGAAAATTTATTTCTTAATATTTGCAAGATTTGGTATTACATACTGTTGCCATTGAAAGTCGGAGAATATTTTGATATATTATTCAAACATATTGGAATAACATTGAACATTCGTAAATACTCGCAACATTTTTTCGATATTATTTCGACATTTTCTTGCATCTGCTAATGAAAATTTTGCAGCAGTTTTACTGTATACGAGTAGTATAGAGTTCCTCACACATTTTGACTAGAAATTAAATCTTCTGAAATAGTCAAAGTACAATGTCATGTACATTGGACAATCGGTTTTTAAGGTGTGAGAATAATTAAAGTTATTTTCTTAATATGAAAAAAAAGAAAAGAAGAAGCAAAATTTTTTCTAAAAACATGTCCTTATAATAGAATGACAAAGTTTTAAATACGTTGAACAGCTTCGAACTGTGTTTTCATTATAAAAACTCAATTTCATACTTCTTGAATTTTCATACATTCATTTTCATATACAATATGATGAAAACTTTAGACAGAACTATAAGAAATTTCGAAAACTATCTCGATTAAGGTTTCAGTTTGCATCAACTGCTTCATAGTACGCCATTTTGAGTCCACATTTTGTTTTTTAAATTTCACATTACCTTAAAAGTCGTCGTGAAACCTAATTAAATAAAAAAAAAATTCTATTTCTATCCTTAAAAATATTTTAATTCCCCTTTTCACTTTTTTTTTGGCAAAAATAGTCAAAAAAACAAAAACCAAAATGAAAAATGAAAAATAAATGTTATGAAAAGCTAATTACACAAATTTTTGCCAAAAAAAAGTTTAACCCTTAAAAAAAGAAAGTATAAAAAGCAGTTTCAAACCATACAATTTCTCTTGTTAATACAATAAAGATTTTAATTTATTTTTAGAAGAAAAAAAAAATAAAAAGTTCCAAAAAAAAAGGGACAAGAAAAAAATCCTTGTTAGAAAAATTTGAAAATAAATTTTATTTAATTGTTTTATTGTTTCCGTTGTAACTAAGTCCTGACTTATAAGACGAAATTTATTAAAATAAATATTAAAAAATTTGGTTGAATTGC